TTGCGCCCCGTCACTCTCCGCCAATCACCTGCGCGGCACCGTTCGATTTCAGACGTAGCATCGAGAGAGAGAGAGAGAGAGAGGAGAGGGGGAGAGAGAGAGAGAGATCAGGCTTTTTTCTTGAGGAGGATCCGAACGGAATTAAAGATGTTTTCCTCCACACACCTGTGCTCCCTCGAAATCTCATCGATCCTTTGAATGAAATCTTCCAGTAGGAGACGAATCAGCGTTGTTAATACAGTGACGGTAAAAAAAGTTTGTTACGCGAAAAAAAATTTTACTACCGCAGCAAAGCGTCGCGACAGCAATAAAATTTAGCCGGCATAATTAAATTATCTTGCTGCATAACGACTAATAAATACTCCTGACAAATCTTTCTGCTGTCCGAACGAATTTCTTTGTTTTTTACCGCCACTATACAAACAAAGAATTTGCTATTCTAGCGTGTTTCCTTTCTCCATGCAGCATCACCCTCTTTTCGCCGGCTCGGATTTTTCACGCAGATTTCCCAATCCCATTCGTGTCACATCTTCCGAGAGAATCCCCCGTCCGCAACATCCCGCCATTCTCCGCCGCCTAATTTTCCTCAATTTCGTTCATACCGCGTGTTTCTGTTTCGGGTAGGTCGCGCGGTCTTTCATCCCGCGGGCACCCGCCCGCCTCAGCAAATTACACACACAATAAATCCCCGAAAGCTTGAAAGATTGGAAATTGAATGAAACTGCAAGTAGCAGGGTAGGACGAGCGGACAGGCGGACTGGCGATCAGAGGGAGGGTGCGAAAGGAACGAAGGGGTTGCTCGCGATAGACAGCGTATGGGGGTTGATATCGATCCGCCGCCCCTACCTCGCAACCGTCATTCCCCACCCCAGCGGTTTCCCCATTTCTTCCTTCCTCCCTCCCTCCCTCCCTCTCTCTCTCTCTGGTCTCGCTCTTCCCGGCCACCACCCTCTTCTCTGCCCTCAGTTCGGGTTCCTCCAGCTCAGCAAGCTCGTCGACCGGCCGGGTTGCCGCTCGGCCCGGGATGCCATGCCTGAGACTGCCGCCGGTTCCTCCGGGAAGTCGTTCCTGCAGCGGGCGCGGGGCAAAGTGCTCCGTTGGCTACGCCGCTCCCTGCGGACGACGCACCAGGTGACACGACTTCCTGCTCGAAATCGTCCCTCCCCCCTCCCTCCGCCAACCCATCCCGCTTCCGTGTATCCGATCTGTGTCGTTCGTCCGTGAATTCACGATCCACCGTCGGACCCGTCTACCCCGGGGAAAAGAGAGGGAGAAGTTTCGTGCTGCTGCCGTAACTCGCAGCTGACTGCGGGAGATTCACCCTTCACGATCCCGGAGCGGTTTGTCCAGTAAGGTTCGAGGAATTTAGAGTCTGCGATGCGCGTCGAGTGTGGTAATTGAGCGAGGTGTGAAAAGGTCGAAGGCGACATATAGCCTGTGGGTCACACTTCGCCGATTTCGTCGAGCTCCTGCCCCTTGAAATCCCTCGGAGTGAAATCCCGCCCGAAAGGCAGAACGATGAGTGGTCGCTGGAATTCGAACTTTTCGCTCATATAGAGCGATCGTACTTTGAATCCTCGGGTAAATGTCTTCTTTCGAAATCGGAGAGAGTGAATCCGACGAGTGTTACACCATAAACGGGGACATATTTGCTCCGGTCGATCGGAACATTCGCTCGTACGGAGAATTCGTAGTCAAGATTCGTTCCGAGTATGAGTGAAATATTTCTCTTTGCGATTTTGCGTGCGGTAATATTGTTATTGTCGTTTTGAACGAAATTACTGCCGCTTTCTGTTTGTTTTCGGTGTGATTCCGAAAGTAACTTCAAGAAATTTAAGTAAAAGAAAGATTCTCCAAGGCCAAAACCTTGAAGCTTCAAAACTTGAAGTCGACCTCTTCCTCATAGATATTTAATTGCCGTCTTTTGATATGTTTTTCAACTAATTTTCCATCTCAAATAAAGCTATTATAATCTGTGTTAAGTGGAGCGATAATAAAATCACTTCCATATTTTTTCAACATTCGTCCTCTCGATTCCGAGCGCTAGTATTGTCACTGTCGTATTGAAAATACTCCCTCCCTTTTCTCGCTTCGAGTGGTGAGGTTACACTGGAAAGGATTTAGAAGTTTCTGTAGAATCGTAATCCCGCCTCGAACCTTGGAATTTCGAATCAGAGGCGTTCTTGTTGCGTTTCGCCAGAAAAGAAATCGGTATATCACAGACTTCGGTACACACGCGGATCATTTTTTAAGCGACTAGTCAGAGAGGAAAGGATCGTAAATCTTTCCGTAATTTTTCCGTAAATGCAAGACACAAGAAGCAGACCCTGACTTTGTTTTCTGTTTTTTTTCCCGTTTTACATGCGTTTTTCTCCCGTTTCTCGATAATTACGGTCGCGACTTAATCATATCGCGAGTCTGTGTTACATGCACGTAATTCTTCGAATAAAATAGGGTGTCTATTTAAACAATAACTATAATCGTCGCGCGGTCTTGCCATTGATCTTTACTTTTTTTTTTAGGGAAATATGGAAATGTTTGTTCGCATTACGCTGACGTCGAAATTACGCGAACGGCGAACTGCGTCGAGAACAAGTGCGATTATAAAATTTTACGACTCGCAATTTTGTCAAGATTAGAACTTTGCAAAATTAGAACGCCCGTACGCAAAGAGCAGCGGCGCGGCAACAAAAATGTCGATCGTTACTTTTCTTCAGCTTCACCAAGTTCTCCAATTTCGCCGAGCGTGACAATTTACAAGAGAGATCTTGACGCCAGACGGCCAACGTGAGCAACGTTCGTCTTGATAGTCGTGCGGCAGATGACGCGCGGGATTAGCTCGAGATAATATCGCTCCAAGATTTTTATCGCGCTGGTGTAACCTCTGTAAGCGCGTAATATTCGTAAAATATTTTATTAATGTTATTCAATATTAAAATAATATTCCTATAATATCCTAAATATGTATTATGTGATCTTTTTTAATATTATACGGATGCTCTTTATTGATACGTCCATTTCACATAATATTTTTGGCATATTATAAAAATGTTCTTAGAATATTAAAAAAAGAATAAAATAATAACAATATAGAAAAATATTCCAGAAATATTACTTAATATTAAATAATATTATTTAATATTATAGGGCGCGCTTATAGGTTTCTCTCCCTCTCTCTCTGCAGCTCTATTCTTCCCCCTCGATCCTTTGACTTGTGACATTTCTCTCTTCACGCTTGCTGGGAAATTCTCAAGCTCAAACTGGGAAAAAACCAACGACTCAATTCCTTGCAAACAAAAGAGAGAGAAATAAAAACGTTGGTATCGTTTCGTGAATTTTTTCAGAGAGAGAGAGTGAGAGAGAGGGAGGGGGGGTTCTCGACGAGAAAGAGGCAGAGCAAACGATGACATTTGCTAACTGTTGACGCGCGCGTAACTGCAAATCTGTCGTTTGACACAGAACCGAGTCAGATTTCGACAACGTATAACGAAGTGCGAAAGATCGATTTTCAATGGCTCTTTGAGCATTGTGCGGACGAACGTTGTGTACGCTTGAACAGATGGTGGTACCGCCCGGCGGTATTTTTAAGCTTGCACGAGGGAGAAAAAGCGAGATTCGACCGGACTCCCGAGAATGAACTTTAAAGCGGATTTCCGTTCGGAAACGAAACGAGATTGAAAATAAAATCGCTATTCACGGAGCGGAGCGCACCTATAACGCTATTACTGTTCTATACGACTATCAGTTTCTCAGAATAGACCGACAACGTGCGTCTCCTAGGAGGAGCGGAAAGAACGTTAATGTAACTGCTAATGGTGCGCGGACGCGAGGATGGATCGCTCCTCCTCGTCGCGGGATCGCCGATATCGGCATCGATCCTGTCTGAAATATCGCGCCGACGGAGTGGTCCGGAGATAATTAGCGCGCGATCATCTAATTTTCGCAGACAAGGGACAGAGTGGCTGAAAGGATCGATCGTGGAAGCACCGGCAGGATCACTGCAAATTCAATTATTTTTACATACATAAACGTTCAAAAGTGACACATTCGACCGAAGCTCTTTTTTACATGTTTCTTGCCGCTTCAAAATTACATGATTTAAAAACGCTTGATCGTGTTAAATTATAAGTTAACACGAATCCAATCCACGCGTTGAATAACGTGATTTGAAAGCGGCAAGAAATGTGTGTGGGAAAAACTTCAGCTGAAATAACAGACTTCGATTTGCAGTGATATCTCCGCTCACTCGCGATCGGAGCGACTTTTCGGAATGACGGACGTCTCGCGGGCAGCGGCAGGAGGGGGTGGTGGGGGCTGGAAACTGGAGCACAGTAGCTTCTATTTATAGATGCAAGTTTTTCGCGGGAGAACGCGCGCCACCCGCGCGATAAGCGACATTCCGTGTCTCGGTGCCGGGGTGTTTTCATTTACCGCGTAAGGACGTCATGATGCGTACGAGGTCCTTACGTAACCCACCGCGTGGCGGTGGTGGTGGTGGGTAGCTTTGTGCGTCATGTACTGCTCGCTCGCTCGCTCAGGACACAAAGCTTTTCACTGGGTGGAACTCTTACAACATGGCATTAATCCTTAAAGAGTTGTCGCGCGCGCATTCGCGTTTTATTATGCAATGCGGCGACGCGGATTAACTAACGGAGGGTCTCTCCCTCTCTCTGTCTGCCTTTTCGCGGCATCGCAATATTTCTCAATGAACGAAGATATGTATAGTAGTATAGAAGAAAATATATTTTCAGCATCCACCAAATGTTTCATTCTTTGCGTATCTTTTTTTCTCAGTGTGATTCACATGCGTGGCTCAGCGCGTCGATGCGACAGTAAAGGAGCGACATCCTCGTCGTCGGATCTCGAGGACCTCCTTCGCAGAGAATTGATATCTTAATTGTCTGCTTCTTTGTGATACGCTTGTTTATTGAAACTTGAGCGACGTAATGAGACGAATACATGCGATTTTATTCGTATTTCTCTTTTGATGTGTCACACAGGTCGACGGGCATGGCACGGAAATGGGACCAGAGCTCGACGAGGAGATGGAGAAGGTCTTCGCAATGGATGCTGGGGAGAAATTCGACGTAGCCCGCCTTGGCTCGCCCTCGGAGTCGGTCGGATCGGATCGCGGTCCACCCTCGCGATATGGCGATCGCGACTTCAATCGTAAGTTGAGACTTTCGTGCTTTCGAGACTTCGCGTGTTATCATCGTCTCCTCGAAGTTCCTTCGAGCGGAGGACGACGAGAATTCTGTGAAACTCCGGCAGAACCAAATCAACAAAATCAAAACAGACCTATTATGTTATCTAAGATCTGTTTTGTGCTAATTTCTACCGCTGATACAAATTTTCTAACCCGTGTAATTTCGAAATTTACAACTTTCTCGCGCGCTGGAGTCACTTTAGCGTCTCTGTGCTCCACGGTGGTCTTAACAATTGAATTTAGGTTGAGTTTGCTCGTATCAATTGTCGACCGAGCGGTCTCTAATTAAAATTTGCAAAGTTCAGTCGGCAATTAAACGACCTTTAATTGAATTCGTTGGAATCAATTAAACGGTCTTTGATCGAGCTCATACTAATCGCCAATTGAGAAAAATTTAATCGTTATTTTCACAACTCCAGTCCTCGGTCACCGGAATTGTTTTTCTTTCTATATGTGTGTTGGAGACGTGAGAAATTATGTATTTATTTTATATGTCTTGTATTTTATTTATTTTTCATATTTCTGATATGTACTTTTCAGAACATCGGAAAAGGAGCTACCCTCACCCGCACATGCCCCTGAAGAGCTTGCATTCCAGATCTATGCGGCGACACCTCTCACCGTAAGTTAGCAGTATATACAGAGCGTTCTCGACTGCAACTACCGATGATACCTCCGATTCCTCTCGAGTCTCTTTATCTCGAGACGAATCTCGATTAGATACACAAGGTGGAACTTTCATGTTTGCAACAAGTTCGATAAAGCTTGAAAACGACAAATCTGATACGCTACTCTCCCCGCGTTATCACGTAGTGAAGGATCGGCGGCGGAAGTGTCCACGGAGGAGGAGCACAGTAATGTCCAGCCGAGGAGCAACGAATTTCACGAAACTGACGGCGTCAATAACGCGTCGGCCGGCACGGCCGAGGCCGCCAACGCCGAGGCGGACGAGGAAACGGCCGAGGAAACCGAGAACGTAATCAGCAGCGAGAGCGAGGCGCCGATCTCCGAGAGAGCGGCCTCCGGCTTCAGCGACAGCCCGTCCGTCGGCAGCCCGCGAGTGCAGTTCGAGAACATCAAGGAGGAGGAGACACCGTGCGCGCAAACCCCGGAAGTGCCGGCGGACGTTGCGCCGAGCGGCCACGAGGAGGACCGAAAATGTCGACGACACCAGAAACACGAGCACAAGTAAGGACGAACTTTGTTTTTTATCGTATTCTGATGACACCGGTCAATGCAAAAATTATAATAATAAATTCGCTGCACTCTCCCCCCTCTCCTTGCGAGTCCACCGATGGTGGATGTTCCTTGTTTTCTTTTTTCTCTTCACTTTTTTTAGCGCGTCTTATAGATCATCGTCCGGGACTCGGTACCGCTCCGTACCGGAATTGTCACCGCCGCGCGTTCGCGCACAGCTCGTTGGATGGTACGAAATAAAGGTCGGCCGTTTCGTGTTCATAATTGCGCGCGGTTGAAATACACGGCGCAAATACGGAGGCCCGTAAAATTGTGACGTGAAATGCGACCGGATTTAAACTTTCGCCCGGATATCGAAGATGATCTAGTTTTCGTGCTCGTAATATCCGCGACAGACACGACGATATAGTCCTTTTAAACTCGTAGGGGCTCGTCTCAGCCCCGCTATTATCGTCGCTTTCCGACGGGATATTTCATCGCAGGCACTGTGACGGAAATAGTCTGATTTTCGCGCTCAACCGACGCCTGAACGTGCTAATTTCATTTCGACCCTCTTTCCCCTCCGCCCCTTTTCTCAGCCATTTCCCACGAAAGCTCTAATCAACCCTAATTTAGTCGAATGAAGTCAAATCAACTTAATGCGACTTTTACGGAATTTTTATTAAACTGATCGGTAGATAATGACAAAAATCGTCAACAACGTCTGAACTTCTTTTGCGCTTTATATAAAATATTTATAATTATGACGGCGTATTGCGATGTGTTGGGTTGAAACACGTTAAATATAAATGCGACTCGTTTTCGTAATTATTGCAGAATATAATTACTGGTGTAATTAGAGGTGTGTCACATTTTTCAAACTTCTTTTGCTCATAACTTTTTAATAAACAACGAGCGACGTTGGCTGAAACCTTCTGAAGGTCACTCACGAGAGTGACTTTTGCAAAATATGTCAAGGTCATTGGGGGTGGATTTCTCCTAAACTGAATAATTACCACATATATATATATATATATATATTCATCTTGTCATTCAACGGCCGCTTTCCAGACGCCATCACCACAAGTCCCGCAAGTACTCCCTGCAGGAGGACCCACAATGGCGGAAGCGTTCGGGCGCCGGTCTGCCGGACGGCACCGGCCTGCTGACCCGGCGCGTCAGCGTCCAGCCGGAGGAGGCGAGCACCCTGCAGGAGCTCGACATCGACGACCTGGAGTCGCATCGGAGCGACGATCCGCGCGGCATGCGCCGGCACAAGGCGGCCCACCGGCCCTCGGTGGTGCAGATCGGCCGGCGGAAGGAGGGCGGTATCCCGCACGACACCTTCAAGAAGATGTACGACCACTCGCCGCACGAGGTATTCGTCCAGCTGGACGAGCTCCACGGTATGGGGGAGGAGCGGGAGTGGCGGGAGACAGCGCGGTGGATCAAATACGAAGAGGACGTCGAGGAGGGTGCCGACAGATGGGGCAGGCCTCACGTAGCCTCCCTGAGCTTTCACTCGTTGTTGAACCTACGTCGTTGCCTGGAGACCGGCGTAGTGCTCCTCGACCTGGAGGAGAAGGACCTGCCCGGGCTAGCCTACAGGGTGGTCGAACAGATGGTCGTCGAGGAGCTGATCCTGGCCGAGGACAGGCCGGTCGTGATGCGAGCGCTGCTGCTGAGGCACCGGCACGTGCACGAACACGAGCGGGGCTTCCGTTTCGGCACCAAAAGGAGTTATTCCAGCTACACCAGCCTTCAGGTAGGTAGGCCTTCGTCGCTAAGTCGTATCGTTCGCTCTCCATCGCCATTGGCGGCGGAATCGAACGGCGGTCTGAACGTCTTTTCTCTCGCAGACTCTTGTCGGTTTTCGCGCGACTTCCACGATAGCGGCCCGATGCTCCATAGCGTAGTGAACGAAAGGAAGGTCAATTGCGATCGCGCGTAACGTTGTGTCTCGAATCGCGCTTGCATAGCAATAAGATCGTAGACGCAGATGAGTTTGGGGGGGGGNGGGGGGCGCGAGTTAACGCGGTCGGCGCCTCGACGCTCCGAGGAGGCTACCTGGGGGGCGAGAGCTCGGTAGTAGCGAGTAGTCGTAGCGTGGGGGTGGCAGTGGGGAAATAGCTTTCACTGACAGTGTACTAATGTTGTTTCCGCAGTCCATCTGGCTGGAGGAGGAAGACGCTGCGCGGGAAGCCGCTGAGAACCATGTAACCCGACATGTAAATCTCTCGTTCCCGAAAGTCGAACGCAGTTCTTTTCTCTTCTTTTTTTTTTTTCTTCTTCTTCATTCTTATCGCTAACTCTTCATCCCGTTTGCTGCCCGCACTTCGTCCAATTCGCGAATTCCTTTGGTTTGCCCACGTGATTTTCGACGAGTCTACGAAAATCTCTTCAGCATGAATCGAACATGACTTTCACTCGGTTTGCGTTCACGATTTTATTCGTGTCACGTGAAGAAAGAGAAAGATTCGGTTGGTTTAATTTCTTATTCCACATTCGCATCCTTCACTCGACACACACGTTTTATGTCTCGTGCATCTAAAATACCAACGACCGTCAGGGTGAGGTAGCTAAACACCGAAATCGGCAGAACCGTCGTCGGGTCATTTAGGTAGACCGGTGGATAGGGTCGTGTGTGGGCTTAGCCTGTAGGATGCGCCTTGCAGGGGGACGATCAGGTTTCGTCCCCTCCGATTTCGGTTAGGTTGATATATGTAATAGTCCTATTCTCCCACGAATTAATGGTAAAGTAACGAAACGCAACTCTCAAGCGTTCGCGAGAAAAAAAAGTTCTATACTATTTTGCAAATAACACGCAGAATTTCGAATTATTAATTAATGACTTCTTTAATTAACGATTCAAAAATTGGCGTGTTATTTGCGAAATGGTAAAGGACTTTCTTATTCAGAGTAGCCTTTTCTACAAATATATAACAGCTGTTGTATTTAACGACACAGAGAGAGAGAGGGGAGGGGGGGAACTTATAGATTGATTACAGAAATATTCGCGGTTGAACAACCCCCGTCGATCCGATATTGATGATCGCGCGAACGCTTACAATCACCGTGCCGTGTCTCTCTGCTGGCTGGATTTTTACTTTTGCAATTTCCTCACGCCTAACTTTTTATTTCCATTTCTTTCTTGTACGGAACGAATCGTACGAAGATACGACGCGACACTTTGCTTCCGCAATTCATCTCGTTGAGGCGCGACTTGGCCGATAACCACGTTATCGCAACATATTGCTTAATTTGTTCAATAGACACGATATTTCCTCGGACTGCGCCGATTTGGTCAATTCGACCGTTTTTCTTCCTTCAGAATGAGATTGCGTCGTATCTTGGTGCACCACATTATAATCTACGGCACGAATATACTGTGCGTGTGCGCGTGTGTGTGTGTATGTGTGTGTGTGTGTGTAGAAGAGTAACGATCTACATACGTGGCGTTTATCCTCGCTTTGCGATTCAGAACTTCTACCACGCGCACTCTTCCCGTTCGAGGTGTCTCGCCTTCTTTGATCTCACTTCAATTTCGATGATGCAAGTACTATAAAAGGCAATTACATTTTTTTCTCCCGTCTTGTCCTTAGCACATTTTTCTTTCCTCGAATCGTAAACTTTCAAAGATCAATTAAGGTTTCTCATTATTGTAGGTTTATTATTACATTCCGACATATTTCTTTGTGAATCATTAGACATGAAGCAGTATCATGAAATTGGATGAAAATCAGATTAAACTGGCCGAAGTAACAAAAAAAAAATTCAATTGAAATCCCACTCGAAAATTGGAGTGACAATTAATTTATTCAAAGTTCGACGTGACTTTTCACTCATATAAAGTATATTTTTCACATCATTTTTGTAAATCATCGAGTATACGTTTTCAATCGAAATTGAATGTTACGGTGTATGCTTAGTTTCAAAACGGTGTGAATATTTTCTTTCTGATGCAACTCGGGACACAGCCGATGGTTTGACGAAGGAACTCGTTTTCGTCTAATCTTTGAAGCTTAATCCTCCCACTAGCCGTGTTTTTCCGAACGGCATCGGGAAAAAGTTCCCAAACTCTATTGAAACCAGGTTTACTCCACTATCACCGGATGTCCGAAAAGTTTCGGATACTCTGTAGATATCATCTGATAAATATCATATTTCTAAAATATTATATTTATTAAGTGAAAGCACCGAATGAACATTCTTCCGCTTTCACCCGAGATCATTTGATGACGCGGATCGCTCCAGTTTCATGATATTGAGACATAATCAGCGGACACTTTATCACTTTTCAATTCTTCACCGGAAAGATCACACCGATTCTCTTCGCGACGGCGAAGCCCCGAGCTCTCTCATTCTCTCAGGCAGTCCCCCTGACGATTTCGTTCAAAAATCCAACAGAATCTGCACGACGCGAAGCCGAAGATCGTTTCGTCGAACCTGGCACTGGACAGCAACCACACCGTGATCGACGTCAAGGAGGAGCTGACGTACACGAGCAGCAACGAGGATCTGAAGAAGGGCCACAACGAGTACATCCTGAAGAGGATACCGGCCGGCGCCGAGGCGACGGTCGTCCTCGTTGGCGCCGTTGACTTCCTGGACCAGCCGACGATAGCTTTCGTGCGATTGGCCGAGGGTGTGTTCATGCCGTCCATCACGGAAGTCACGATGCCGGTGAGGTTCATGTTCACCCTGCTGGGGCCGAGGAACGCGGACCTGGACTACCACGAGATCGGCCGGTCTATCTCCACCTTGATGGCGAACACGTCGTTCCACAAGGTCGCGTACAGGGCGACCGAGAGGCGGGAATTGCTGTCGGCGATCAACGAGTTCCTCGACGATTCGATCGTACTGCCGCCCGGCGACTGGGAGAGGCAAGCGCTGTTGCCGTTCGACGAGCTCAAGGCGAAGAGCGAGGCGATCAGGAAGAGGAAGGCGAGGGCGCTCGAGGAGAAGACGAAGCCGATGATACAAAGCGAGGCGGCGGTGAAGAAAGGTAAAAGGGATCTTTCGAATTCAAACGCAAATCTCTCTCTCTCTCTCTCTCGGTTAATCCTTCTAACCGAATTAACTTATCCAGCATGATTATGTTACACAATTTAATTCGTCATCGGTGCCGTCGATCCGCAGCTCTCCTGGCGGAAGAAGAGGAGAAGAAGCCGCCGGAGGAGGACGATCCGTTGCGACGCACCAGACGGCCGTTCGGCTGTCTGATCAACGACATCAAGCGCCGCTACCCGTTCTACCTGTCGGACTTCACGGACGGTCTCAGCTCGTCCTGCCTCGCCGCCGCCATTTTCATGTACTTCGCCGCCCTCTGCACCGCCATCACCTTCGGCGGGCTGATGAGCGACAAGACGCAGAACGTGATCGGCATCTCCGAGACCTTGGTTTCCGGCTCGTGGACCGGCGTGGTGATGGCGTTGTTCGCCACCCAACCGCTGGTGATAATCGGCACGACCGGGCCGTTGCTGCTGTTCGACGAGAGCCTGTACAACTTCTGCATGGCGAACGAGCTCGAGTTCCTCACCGTGCGGGTGTACGTGGGCGCGTGGATGGGCATAATCGCTCTGATGATCGCCTGCGTCGAGGGCTCGGTCCTCGTGCGGCTCTTCACCCGTTTCACCGAGGAGATCTTCACCGGGCTGATCTCCATCCTCTACATCGTCGAGACGTTCATCAAGCTCTACAACTACTTCGCGCGCAATCCCCTCCTGCACGAGTACAGCTTCGGGCCGAGCCTCGTCAACGGCACCGTCTATCCGCTCTACGTCACCGAGATGAAGATCACGACGTCGCCGGCGTGGAACGCGAGCGAGACGACGTATCGCTTGGAGAACGCGAGCGAGCTCGTGCCGAGACGCGACGTCGCCGGGCTGCTCGTCAACCAGCCCAACACCGCGCTGATGTGCACCATCCTCTGCCTCGGCACCTTCCTGGGCGCTTACTACCTCAGGATCTTCCGTAACAGCCATTACTTGGGCCGTAGCGCCCGCAGAGCCTTCGGCGATTTCGGCGTGCCCATCAGCATCATCGTCTTCGTCCTGATCGACTATCTGGCGATGGTGAGGACGGAGAAACTACTGGTCCCCGAGGGACTCACCCCGACAGTGCCCGACAGAAGCTGGTTCGTGTCGCCCGCCGGCATGGAGAAGTCCATACCGTTCTGGATGGCGCTGGCTTGCGTGGTGCCGGCCTTGCTCGTCTACATCCTCGTATTCATGGAGACTCAGATATCCGAGTGAGTATATACACATTCAACTATCCAAGATCTGTATTAAAGCCCGGAGTACTGACCCGCCGTGCCCGCAGATTGATCATCGACAAGAAGGAGCGCAAACTGCGGAAGGGCAACGGCTACCACATGGACATAGTCGTGGTCTGCCTGATGAACGTCGGCTGCGGCCTGATGGGCGCGCCGTGGTGCTCCGCGGCGTCGGTGCGCTCCCTCACCCACGTCTCGGCGGTGACGGTGATGTCGCGCACGCACGCGCCCGGCGACAAGCCCCACATCGTCGAGGTGAAGGAGCAGAGGGTGAGCGCCCTCCTCGTCGCCGTACTGATAGGCGTGAGCGTGCTGATGGCGCCGCTCCTGCGACGCGTGCCGATGTCCGTCCTGCTCGGCGTCTTTCTCTACATGGGCATCTCCTCGACCAACGGCGTCCAGCTCTTCGATCGCGTCAAGCTCTTCTTCATGCCGGTCAAGCATCACGGCACGGCGAATTACGTGCGCCGCGTACAGACGTACAAGATGCACGTCTTCACCCTGATACAGATTCTGTGCCTGGCCGTGCTCTGGATCGTGAAGAGCACCAGGGCCGCCCTGGCCCTGCCCTTCTTCCTCATCCTGATGATCCCGCTGCGCGCACAGATGAGCCACTTCTTCACCGCCGCGGAGCTGCGCGCCCTCGATAGCAAGGGGTCCGAGCACGAGGACGAGCTCGACTTCTACGAGGAAGCCCCGCTACCTGGTTAGATACTGTGCCTTAAATCAACAATCGAGTCGCCTCTGTCCGTGTTGTGTGTCTCTCTCTTCCGGGCCTCCACTTCGTCTCGCGTACCTTCCGGCGACGGTTCGACTCGTACGTCTGTATCTCACGTCAGGATCTTTGGGGGGG